GGTGTACGGTGTGATTCTATTAAAAATAAATTTCCAATTTTCCATCTATAAGTAGGAAACGTTTATCAATTAGTGTAGAATTTACCTATGAATAGGCTCTGCTATTTATTTTAGTTAAAATGGAAAACAAAGTTAAAATGGATTTTGAGGATTTTGGAGTTGTCAGGAAAGAAGCTGTATCACTTAAGAATCAGGGACAGAGTTTGAGAATATTATTGTCATTACATGCACATAATGAAAGGACTTAATACAAACTTAGATGGTATAGACTTCTACATACCTAAGCTGTATTAGAATCTAACAGGACAATTCATATATTTGTACCATTAATGACAGAAGCATTGTTAGCTGTCAGTGACTAAACATACTTCATAGTATCAGGACACCCAGTCAGATTAGCCTCTGCCCATTTCCAACTCAATTCCCATCATCTTCCTCTGATCCATTCTTGTATCCTTGTTCTTGTCTTCCTAATTAACTTTTCCCTGCACAGTCTTCCATCCCACCCACTCAGCCATCTCTACAGATCCTTCAGACCTCAGCTTAGGTATAGAATGGAGAGAGAAAAATCTGTATAGAACATCCTTTTAGTGTTGTATAGTATAAGGAAAAGAAACAAGCAATACAAGGTGAAACCATTAGTTTGTGGCTCTAGGGAGTCTTGACAGGAGGCAGAGATAACAGCATGTCTCAATGCTTATGAGGATCTGGAGATGAAAACTTGTATAATGTAGAAGCAAAATGAAAGAATTATCTACATTTATCTTGATTAGCCGGGGGAGAGAGGCTCAGAACCCCAGAGGAAGGGGATTAATTGGCTAGGAACATGGAAAGTATATCTCTAAGAACTAGAAAGATGGTAGTTGTGGCATAATTAGAAATATACTGTATTTTATCTTTGTTTCCACTTCTGGGCACAGAGATCTTGAATTCTTTGGAATTTTCTGAGTGATGTAAGTGCATTTTATTACTGACAAGAATCTCTTTTGATCATACTTGAGGTTTAAGCTGATGAAATGACCTAGAATCTGGCTTCTCCCTTAGGAAGGAGCTGGTTGTAGAGGAACGAATTTTAGGATTACAGCCAGGAACTTTCAGCTTTATCACAGATGCCTGGGACTGAAAATGGCCTGGGACTGAAAATGGACTTCATCCTAATGGCAAAGGATTTAATCAATCAGACCTACAATAGAGGGTACAATCACCTAGTTTGTATAAAACACCAAAGTAGATGAACACTGTTGGCTCATGCCTGTAATATTAGCTACTCGGGAAGCTGAGTTTTGGGTATCAAAGTTGCCAGCCCAGACTTGAGAAGTCCATGAGATCCTTATCTCCAATTTGTATGTCTGAGAGATAGAGGTAGGGGGGCAGAGCAGGTTGGAAGTGGAGCTATGGCTCAAGGGGTAGAGTTCAAGCCCTGAGCAAAAAAACTTAGGGACAGCACCCAGGTCCTGAATTCAAGCTCCAGGAGGTGCACCAAAACACACACACACACAAAAATCAAATTTTGGGGTTCAGAGGGCCTTCTATATTATCTACCACAGGGAGGTATTGTGAAGGCTCTTGCCCTATGCTTCTATTTGCCTATCCCTGAATTGAATCCTTTATAATAAACCAGTACACGTTTGTTTAGTGGCATTTCTGGAAGAAATAGGTGTTTCATTCATCTTTCTCTGCATTTCTCTGTATGTTTAAACTTTTTGCTTCAGCTGTAGACTTGAAATAATTTGGCATGGAGCACTTGTATTTTCAAAACTATTCAAAGCACCAAGCTAATTACTTGAACTAGAAGTTGGTTGCTTAGTTATTTGTTTACACATTTTAGTTTTACTTAGAGTTTTGCTTATTGTGTAATTAGCTTTCATGATCTTAAATATACCAGGCTAAGATTAGTGCCTTGAATGTTATTCCTTTGAGATCTTCATGAAAAGAGATGAAAATCTCTTAAGAATATTGAAGTATATACATAACCATACATAGAAACACGCAAATATAATAACTCTATATTGATGCCATTTAATTTGCATTTTAAATACCACTTAGCAAACTTTACAATGGGAAAAGTTTGATAAATTGTTACTAAGTTATAAGCTCTATGTGAAAAATGTTAACATATAACGGAACAATGATTTCAGTTGTCAGCAAATCATTGACTTATTTACATATTTATTTATTGCTGAAGATTGACCTAGGATCGCCTATGTATAAAGTATGTATTCTACCACTAAGCTACTAAACCCCTTGGCCCCAGACCTGTTTTCTATTTTTTTAAACTAATATCTGTATCTGTATTATTGAAATGTGTTATTTAATCAACATTAGCAAAGTATCACTGCTCACCATAGTGTAATCCATTTAAGTTTTAGCTCCCTCTGAATGCCCATCCAGCCAAAAACATTGATTCCTTATACTCTTGAGTCTACTTCAGAGAAGTTTACATAGCCTAGCTACACTATTCTCGTTAACACAAGGGCTTTGCCAAATTCAAAGGGGAATTTTTCTCTATGGTAACTGGTAATTTGTTCTAGCTTTTACACAAATCACTGGGGACAGACTTTCAAGCCTGTAGGGAGAGGTCTAGAATGTAGCTCAGTGGTAGCACCCATGCTGAGCTTGTGCGAAACCAGCAATGAGTCCTGAATACCAAAAACAAACAATAAACAACCCCCACCCCAACCAGGAAACAAAAATTTCAGGGGTATGTCTCAGTGATAGAGATATCTAGCACTTCAAACAAGCAAACAAAAAAATAATCAAGGGCCAAAGACAAGGTTATAAAGTGTTCTGTTTTTTTAGTTGTACACCATGTAATTAAATTACCACACATATAATTGAGTTAAGGAAGATAGATTTTCATTTTCTCATTTATTCAAGAAATATGTATCACAGGTATCTAAGACTTCCTATGATATGTCAGATGCTGTACCAGGGTAGTGATGTTAAAGATTAATTTCAAACATTTCAAATATTTTCAGTTGGTATTTGATAAGCTTTCCACTTGTGATTAACTTGAGGTTAATCCTTTTGAAAGAGTGTCCAAGAAAAAAAAATCCATTAATCCTCTATCCAAAGTACAACAAAGTTGTTGGAACTGGTAAATCACCCTTTGTTTATATAAACAAAACTTCTGAAAGGTTTTGCCACACGTGAGTATTTTTACTTTTTTTTTCAGGTCCTGGGACTTGAACCGAGGACCTGGGCACTGTCCCTGAGCCACTTGTGCACAGGGCTAGCACTCTACCACTTGAGCCACAGTGCCACTTCTGGCTTTTTCTGAGTGGTTTATTGAAGATGAGAATCTCAAGACTTTTTTTTTTTTTTTTGCCTGGGCTGGCTTCAAACCGTGCTCCTCAGATCGCAGCCTCTTAAGTAGCTAGGATTACAGGCACAAGGCACTGGAGTTTGGCTGAGTATCCATGTTTAAGTGATTAAAAAAAAAACCCTTATATACAGTGTATATTTCAGATGTTGCTTCTTCTTTTGTTTTGATGTGCTGATGAATTTGTGTTGTTTTAATGTTCCCAGCATTTTAAGTCATTCTTCGGATTTGAGGTGCCAGATGCCCAGACTCATACTAGTGGCATATCCATTTGGAGGAAGTCTGGGGCATGATTAATGTGAATACAGTCACCCAAGCCAACTATTTGCTCTACATCTTTGATTAGCTGTTTGAACAGTTGTGGAAACGATTTTGTGAAAGACTGAATCATGTATAATCTTTCTATTATTAGTGACATTTCCTAGTTTCATCTTTCTGTCTGTCACAAGAGGGAATTTAGCAGCATAAGGCTTAAAAACAGGAGCTGCTGGAGCCAGGCACTGGTGGCTCACACCATTCTAATCCTAGCTACTTAGGGAGGCTGAGACCTGTTAGATCGGTTCAAAGCCAGCCTGGCAGAAAAGTCAGAGAGCCTCTGGGATCTCCATTTAACTAGCTAAAAGCTAAAAGTGGAGCTGTGGCTCAAGTGGTAGAGTGCCAGCCTTGAGCACAAAGACTCAGGGACAGTGTCCAGGCCCCTGAGTTCAAGGTCCAAGATTGGCACAAAAAAATAAAATAAAAAGCTTTATAAAAAACAGTGAGATAATGACCAGATGGCAAAAGGTCAGATTGAAGAACCCCTGAAGTGTCTGAGAACAGAAAGGCCGTGTGTAAAAAGCAGTTTAAGGGGTGGGGGGAGGGGATTAAACAGACGGAGAAGATTGGGAACAGTAACATTTAGTAAACTAATACCCACGTGGACTGGTGATAGGTTCGAGGAACAAACTCCACTCCCCCCAGTGTTTGTTTGGGGAAGGTGTCAGGTGCATGCGTTAACTGTGGGTGAGGTGACATTTTTGGACCTACCCTAGAGTTAAACAAAAAATCATTTTGCACTGGCAGCAAATGGAAGAGTCGTGACTTAGGGGAAAAATCATTTTGCATTTTGGGCCAAGGAGGAGGCAGTAACAGTTAACTCTTTCTGAGGCCCAAAGAAGGTATGGGGTGGGGGAGGAAAGAGGGGAGCTCTAGTTTGCTTCTGGTGCAGAAGAGCCAGTCCCTACCAAGTTAGCAAAGCCGGATCCCAGAGGCCAGGAACTTTAATCCTCCAACCCTGACTTCCTCCAGATGCCCCGGGACAGATGTTTGTGGCAACACCGGCTTAAGGAACCCACGCTGGGCGCGCAGAAGGGGCGGAGAAGGTGTTGGGGGGGGGAAGGCAACTGCAGGAGCACATGCTGGGTGGGAAGTTCCGGGGAAACCAGAGTTAGCCGGATAGCGGGCTCTCCGTACCTGGCGCGCACGCGCCGCGCGCACGCGCACGCAGGGAAAGCCGGAGCGGGCGCGGGTGTGGGGGGGGGGGGGCGGTGAAGGAGCGCGCGTCCTTCACGTGACCCGTCCCGCCGGGCGGCGGCGAGGACGCACACGCACTCGACGCGCCCCTCACGTGGTACGTCTTCAGCCCAGCCTCCCAGCTCCCCCCCTCCCCTCCCCTCAGCCTCCCACCCCTCCCCGTCGTCGCCGGCGGAGGCGGGCGCGGCGGGCGCGTCCCTGTGGCCAGTCACCCGGCGGAGTTGGTCGCACAATTATGAAAGACTCGACTTCTGCTGCTAGCGCCGGAGCTGAGTTAGTGCCGAGAAGGTTTCCCTGGGCTGTCCTCGTCCGGTGGCCTCTGCTGCCGCCTCCGGAGACGCTTCCCGATAGATGGCTGCAGGCCGCGGAGGAGGAGGAGGTGGAGTTGCTGCCCTTCCGGAGTCTGCCCCGTGAGGAGAATGGTAACTGGAGCCCCGGCGCAGGCCCCGGGGCGGGAACGGAAGGGACCTAAGCCAGCGTGGGTCGCTTTTCCCCGGGACCACACGATGATCGGGAAGCTTCTGGAGTTGTCCCGACCGGACCGGGGTGGAGGTGTTGGGGTGGGGTGGGGGGAGATGAGGTGGGGTGGGGGGGGGATCGGGGGGTCGGGGTGAGGGAGACCCGAGTGTGAATGGCGTGGGGAGGGGGTGGTGGTGGCGGCGGCGGGCAGCTCGTCGTGGGCATTTCCTCTCTCCCCCCCCACCTCGGAACTGAAGAACCCCCCGCGGCGGAGGGAGGGAACGGGGGGGGGGGGGGAAACCCTGGCCTCGGTGGAGAGGACCGCGAGTCCCCCGGGGGTGCGGGGCTGGGGAGGGGGGACGGTTTCCCCACCACCGACCCCGCACCCCCTTGGCAGCGTCCAGAGCTTTTTGGGGGGGCCCGTGGGCGGCCGCAGCGCGCCCCGACGCCCGGGGACCCCGAGCTGTCCCAAGCTCCGCATCGCCCCGGCTGCGCGGCGGTCCTTCCTTCTGGCGCCGGTGACTGGCGAGATAATGTTGGCCAAGCGCGCAGTTAAAGTTCAACATGGAAAAGGAGAGGAAGGGAGGGCAGGGAGGGAACCAAAAAAAAAGAGAGAGAGAGAGAGAGCGAGGACATGGGCTTGGAGCTGTGCCTCGTTGGCTGAGCAGCCGGTACTCTACAGGTATATTTTCTTTGGGGGAGCCCAAGAGGAAGGAGCGAGATTGCACCGGCTGCACGGAGAGAGTTCACTTGGGATTTTCTGCGGAGGATCTAGGGGATCCGGGGAATCCTAACTATCTGATCTCTTGAACCCCCTCCTCGTCCTCCTCTTCCCCCCCCCTCCACCCCCCAACAGAAGGGGCAGAATGGGAAAGGAGGGAGGTGCACTGCAGCTTTTGATAAAGCTCTCTTCCCCCCCCCCCCCCTTCTGAAATCCAACGGGAAGATTGCTTACAAAGAAAGTCATTTAGATCAAAGACTTGAGCTGGGTAGGTATTTTCTTTCTGCTCAGGACTTAGAAACTGGTTGGCTTTGTGCAAACAGCCTCCTCTCTGCTGAAGGCCGGCTCCCTTTCCTTGTTTTTTTTTCTTTTTTTTCTGTAGTAAGCTGATTTCCAGGGTCTTCGGGAGCTGAAATCAAGGTTTTTTTCCTTGGAGAAGGAAAGTAATCAGACCTTACATAAACAGTGCACCTTCCACTATTTGCCGCCTTCTTTGGGAATGGAAAGTCAGTAAATAACGTCATTTCACCTTTCTCCCGATTCTTAAAAAGAGTTTTAAGTCCTTCCAACCTGCGTTGAAGTTTTTGAAGTAATTACTCAAATGGATTTGAGGGAGTCTGTTGGAGGGGAGTTGGATCCAAACGACTTGCTTCAAACACATAAGCTTTTAATACAGACTATTCACTGATGTAGTCTTTTTCATATTATATTTAAGCATTGTACTATGGGATTACTATTCAAGAAATCAGTTTATAAATACCATTCATCTCGGTCAGTAACAGCCCTTTCTTCATTCCCCCAATCCCTCCCAACCCAACCTAGTTTTCCTGTTTAGATGGAAAAGAGCATAAAGATTTTCGGGTTAAGAAAGTTTTCATGCATTTCAAATATGTTATAAAAAGAAACTTAAGATGCCCCATTATTTTCAAAGCCATACAGACATTGCTTCCTTAATGGTCTAGATCAACACACTTGTTTCCATTGAAAGTCTGTAATTTAGTTTGCCCCAGTTGCCTTTCTCAGATTATGCCTTTAACAACTTACTGTCTGCATCCTTTGAGACTTGGCCTTCAAAAATGGAAGTGTGGTCTGTTTCTCCTGTTTCTGTTGCCTTTCCATTTGTGGCCTTTCCATCAGCAGATAAGCTTACCCAAGTAATATACATAAATAGTACAATGTACATTCACAGAATGAGCTTAGTATTGGTTGGACATGCTGTTTTTTTTCTTTTTTTAAAAAAAACCTGTTGATTCTGCAGGGAGAAAATTTTTACCTTAAAATTTGAGATTAAGAGTCCATTCATTGCACTGCTGAAATCTGCTATTGAACTGTGAGATTTTCATTCCAATTTCCAGTTAAATTATAGTAGAATCTTAGAATAACTTGAAGCGTTATTAAATTCTGTAACCATAGTTTATCTTCCTTGATATTTAGATCAACTCTGTGGCTTAGGTTCACCTAGGGATATTGTATCCGTACTGTCTGAGTCTTACTGTAAACTTTCATATAAGGCTTTGCTTATGATTATCAGTTTCTACTTTGACACTAAAACCACTTAAGATTTCTCTGAATTTTGAAAGACTTTAATCAGCCAGCTGACTAAAGAACAATACAAAAAAATAAGAAAATCAAGTTGTAACTGCAGTGAGATCAAACAGTAAAAATTATTGTTATATCTACTGGAACTTTTTCATTTTATTCATTTAGTAGTCTCTTCTAGTGGTATATCTAAATACAGTGATAGGCATTGGAGTTTTTTTTGGATCCGGTCATGGGGCCTGAACTCTGGGCCTGGGCGCTGTCCCTCAGCTCTTCAGCTCAAGGCTAGTGCTCTACCACTTGAGCCACAGCACCACTTCCGGCTTTTTTTTTCTTTTTGCTTATGTGGTGCTGGGGAATCGAACCCAGGGCCTCATGCATGCAAGGCAGGCGCTCTACCACTGAGCCACCTTCCCAGCCCTAGCATTGGAGTTTTGAAGATAATGATGTCTACTTTTTTTTTTTTTTTTAGCCTGTGCATTGTCCCTCAGCTCTTCAGCTCAAAGCGAGCACTCTACCACTTGGACCACAGCTCCACTTCCAGTTTTCTGGTGGTTTATTGGGGATAAGAGTCTCATGGACTTTCTGCCCAGGCTGGCTTTGAACCTCGATCCTCAGATCTCAGCCTCCTGAGTAACTAGGATTAAGGCGTGAGTCACTGCTGTTCTAGTGCTGAGGATTGAACCCAAGACCCTGAACATGCTAGGCAGGGAGCTACTGCCTTATCCTGTATATAAATCTACTTTTAAACAGTATTTATAGTCTAGTAATTGATTAAAAATGTACTTGTTCAGTTGAAGATGTATACATTACTGTGCAAAACAAACCTTTGATGTGCACTGTGTTTCAGACAATATAGTATTTAGTTACCTTGAAGGACAGTATGTATATGTGAAAACAGAAGGAAGATATGGTACAACTCCATGGATTTCTGTGTTGAGTATAGATGAGGTAATAACAGAAAGGAAAGTCTGAATAGGTTGACTTACAAAAGAACTAATGGTAGAGTGGAGTCTTGTAGAGTTAATAAATAATAGAAATTAACCTGAAAAAAGACAAGATGTTGAATTAGGGCATTTATTTATTTTTGTGCCTGTCCCCAGGCTTGAGTTCTGAGCCTGAGCTCTGTCCCTTAGCCTTGTTTTCAAAAGCTGTCTTGAGCCACAGCTGTAGTTTCAGCTTTTTGCTGGTTAATTAGAGATAAGAGTTTCACAGATCATTCTGCCCAGGCAGGCTTTGAATGATGATCCTCAGATCTCAGTCTCCTGAGTAGCTAGGATTACAGGCATGGGCCAGCCACTAATACCTGAAGAATTAATGCTTTTAGTGTAGGGGAACAGACCTTTAGAAGAAAAGGATATCCTTAAATTCTTCTGATGTTATACAAAACTGCCTAAGTGCTGGGGTTGTTGCTCTGTGGTAGAGCATTTGTGTGCATAAGAGCCTAGGTTTTATTCTTAGCACTACTAAAGCAACAAAAACCTTCAATGCAGCTTAGAATGTATAAATACTCCCATAGTAGAGTATGGGATGATAATACCTATTGGTGGGAACATTAAGAAGATTGTTAACACCAGATTTCTAGAGGAGCATGTCTCTTTGGATTTGGTTCTAGAAATGTTGGGGAACCATTGTGGCAACACCATGGTAGTGAATTGGTGTGTGGTTACACTGAAGAAAGAGAAGCTCATAAGGAAGCTATTATAAGAGTATAGCTGTGTTGAGGACCTGAATAATTAGAAGAAAAGAAGGAATGGATTAAGATAAGGTGTTAGAGAATGAAGTCGCTTTTGTGGAATATCTGTAATTTGGGTGTAAAAGTATTGATAATAACCAGCTATAAAATGAAAATGTGTAAGCAGTGAAATCATTGCCTAAAATGTGCAGATACTGTAACTGAAAGAAGTACTTAAAATATACACTTAAGCATTTTTAATTGGTCTATCAAAGTAATCAATTACAAAATGAAGTTGGAGAGTTCTGCCAGTCAGATATTTGGATCTAATGCTCTAATAGTCTTCTGTAGTCTAACACTGAGCTATACCACAGCCCTCCCCTCCCCCACCTGCTGCAGCTTTCTTGTTCTCTATGTTTTACCTCTGAGCCACACCTCCAGCTCTTTTTCTGGTTAATTGGAGATAAAATCTTTTTAAGATGGATCAGTAGTGTTAACTTGAGTTGTGGAATTCCCATTTATTCACTCACATAATACTTTTGGTTGTAGTTGTTAATAACTTTAGCCATTGATCCACAAGTTCTTTTGGGGGAAACTTTCCATATGAATAAGTTTAAGTTACCTAGGTTTTTTTTTAATGATTTCCTTTTAAATTTCTGTTATCTGTTTTAAGTGTGATACCTGAAACAAAATAAAGTTGAGATTTATTTAGGATATAAGCATTGTTTGACTCTTTATAGGGATTGCTAAGACTCATTTAAATGAATGCATAAAGAGAATTTAAATAGATGTCACTTTTAGGAAGGTGCTTTGCAGCTATTCGTTACTAGGTTAATTTGAATGTTAATACCATGTTTAAGTTGGAGAATTGAACCTTTCTAATTTACTTTATAAAATACATGATTCTAGGGTTCATACTTGTCATCCTGGCTTCTTGAGAGATGGAAATCAGGAGATGATGATCTCTAACTTGGATTTTTTTTTTTTTTTTTGTCGTGGGACTTGAACTCTGGGCCTGGGTGCTGTCC